AATTTCCTCTCACTTTCTTCTTTCCAAGGGGTATAATTTGTACAGAAAATAGGCCATAGAGAGTTTCTATTTCATATAATTTAGAGACTTCCATATGACTAATTTTACTATAGTTAATTATAGAAAATACAGTATTGTAGAAACTAGCAGACATCTACTGGGCCTTTTAAATTCAAGGTGGAATTGTCAGCTCAGAAGGCTGTAGTAAGTTTCTTTGCATCCCAAAGAGGTAAACTTGATAGATTTTCTTGAAAGATACATGATGATAATGGGGGCATATTCTGAACAAATTTGAAGAAAATTTAAAAATTGCATTAGTGAGGAAAAGTCCAGGAATATTGTGCTGACTAATTTTTATGTCCATTAGAGACTTGTCATTCGTTGATTGTTCAATTCTTTTTAAGTATAAAACTTTTTCTGCAAATAAACTCTAATGTAGAAACTCATATTATAATGCAAGGGAAAAAAGGTCAGCCATTTAACATGCCCTTTTCCAGAATATTATCAGATACAATTCTGGAAGATGGGCCCCTTAGGTTGGAAGGCACTCGAAATATGACCAGGGAAAATCTGCCTCCTCACAGTTGAGTTGACAGTGATGATGCAAATGGAGTAAAGACTTCGAGACCTTCATTTGCAGATGGGGCACAATTCAAAATGAAGAGAAACAGCTGTAAACATCCATTAATAATTGGAACCTGGAATGTACAAAATACGAATCTAGGAAAATTGAAAGTTGTCAAAACTGAAATGGAATGTATAAACATCAATATCCTAGGTATTAGTGAGCTGAAATGAACTGGTATTGGCCTTTTTGTATCTGACAATCACATGATTTACTATGCCAGGAGTGACAAATTGAAGAGGAATGATGTCACATTCATCGTCAAAAAGAACATTTTAAGACCTGTCTTGAAGTATAATGCTATCTCTGATAGGATAATATCCATATGCCTACAAGGAAGACCAGTTAAAACCACTATTATTCAAATGTATGCACCAAACACTAAAGCCACTGAAGATGAAATTGAAGAATTCTACCAATTTCTTCAGTCTGAAATTGATCAAGCACACAATCAAGATGTATTAATAATTACTGACGATTGGAATGAAGATGTTGGAAACAAAAAGGAAGGATTAGTAGTGGAAGGATTAGTAGTTGGAAAATATGGCCTTGATAATAGAAATGATGCTGAAGACCACATGAAAGAATTTTGCAAGACCCATGACTTCTTTATTGCAAATAACCTTTGTAGCCATCTTTAAACAACACAAAAGACCATTATACACATGAACTTCACCAGATGGATTACACAGAAATCAAATTGACTAGATCTGTGGAAAGAGATGGTAGAAAAACTCCATATCATCAGCCAAAACAAGGTTGGGGCAGATTGTAGAACAGACCTTCAATTGCTCACATAGAAGTTCAAGCTGAAGCTAAAGCAAACTATAACATGCCTATGAGAGCCAAAAATATGACTTGGAACATATCCCACCTGAATTTAGAGATTATCTCAAGAACAGATGTGATGCATTAGACACTAATGATGGCACACTTTTAAGAGTTTTGAGATGACATCAAGAACATCATGCAGGGAGATAGCAAAAGTTCATTAAGAAGAGAGGAAAGAAAGACAAGACCAAAATGGATGTCAGAAGAGACCCTGAAACTTGCTCTTCAGTGTATCAGTATAAGCAAATGAAACAAATGAGGAGGTAAAAGCTGAATAGAACATTGCAAAAGGCAGCTCAGGAAGACAGAGTCAAATATTATAATGAAATGTGCAAAGAGCTAGAGGTAGAAAACCAAAGGGGAAGAACATGCTCAGCATTTTTCAAGATGAAGGAACTGAAGAAAAAATTCAAGTCTCAACTTGCAATACTAAAGGATTCAATGGGCAAAATATTGAATGATGCAGAAAGCTTCAAAAGAAGATGGAAAGTGCTCCTGGATAGGAAGACTTCACATTGTCAAAATGTCAATACTGCCCAAGCCAATATACACATATAATGCAATCCCAATCCAGATTTCAGTGACATTCTTCAAAGACATGGAAAAAACTATTACAAACTTTATATGGAAAGGAAAGAGACACAGAATAAGCAAAGCACTGCTTAAGAAGAATAAGGTTTGAAACCTCTCACTCCTTGATTTCAAAATGTACTACACAGCTACAGTGGTTACAACAGCCTGGTACAGGTACAATGAAAGTTACATTGATCAATAGAACAGAATCAAGAATCCAGATATTAACCCATCCACATAGCCAACTGATTTTCGACAAAGGGTCTAAATATATTACATGGGGAGGAGATAGTCTCTTTAACAGATGGTGCTGGCAGAACTGGAAAGCGATATGCAAGATTGAAACACGACCTTTACCTCATGCCTTATACAAAAACAACTCAGCATGGATTAAAGACCTAAATGTGAATCCCAGAATTATAAAGGCCATCAGTGAAAAAATAAGGACAAATGTGAGGGCTCTAATTCAGGGCATATACAGACTACCAAACTTCAAACATTTTGAAATTTACACAAACATAAGTAGACAAAATAGATCGTTGGGACATGCTAAAAATTAAAAACTTATGTGCATCAAAAGACTTCACCAAAAGAGTAAAAAGGGAGCCCACAGACTGGGAAAAAAATATTTTGCAATGACACACCAGACAAGGGACTAATTTCTAAAATATATAGGAAGCTACAACACCTCTACAAGAAAAACTCAAATAACCCAATTAAAAAATGGGCACAGGACATAAACAGACACTTCCCCAAGGAGGAGATATGGGCAGCCAACAAACATGACAAAATGTTCACAATCACTAGCCATTGTTGTTGTTAGGTGCCATCGAGTCGGTACCAGCTCATAGCAACCTTATGCACAGTAGAACAAAACACTGCCCAATTCTGGGCAAACCTCACTATCGTTGCCACACTTGAGCCCATTAGAGAGAAGCATATCAAAACAACAATGAGATATCTCACACCAGCAATAGCAGCAAAGATCAAAAAAGTAGAGGACAATATATGTTGGCAAGGATGTGGAGAGACTGGGATGCTCCTGCATTGCTGATGGAATTGCAAAATGGTCCAAACACTCTGGAAAGCAATATGGTACTTCCTCAGAAGGTTGGAAATAGGAATACCTTATGATCCAGCAATTCCTTTACTTGGCATTTACCCACAAGAAATATGAGCCATAACACAAGTAGATATATGCACACCAATGTTCATAGCAGCACTATTTACAATAGCAAAAAGATGGAGACAGCCTAAGTGCCCATCAATGGAAGAATGGATAAACAAACTGTGGTACATATACACAATGGAATACTATGCTAACTTGAAGAATAATAAGGAATCTGCAAGCCACCGCATAACATAGATGAACCTTGAGGACATTATGTTGAGTGAAATTAGTCACAACAGGAGAAATACTGCATAGGGCCACTATTGTCCCCTCATGTTAGGTAGCCATTGTCTAAATTGCTCGTTCCTATCTACCATGTATATAGAGGGGATAGCACTGATACTTGATATGAAGACTCCTTCCCTCTCTGTTGCTATTTTGAGCTACCTATATCCATGAGTATAGTTTTAAGTTCATTAAACAAGATGACATTTGAACAAGTTAGAGGAAATGAGCCATCTGGAGGAAGAAGGTGTAGACAGAGAAAACAGATCAATGTTTATGTGGTGTGGCAGTGTACATGATGTCCACACCAAAGAGACCCTGTGGCTGGAAACTAGTTGAAAGAGATCAGATAAGGAATGTCTTGAGTTTGATATATTTTAAAAACCATTTTTCTGTAAGTCATACTGAGAATATTTCCAAACTCCCAATTAAAACACCAACTTAAATAATATAAAGCTTACTCCTGCTTATTAAGTTCTCTAGGGTTAGAACATGCTGATGTAATTATAATTGTCGCTGATGTAATTACAATTGTTTTCTGGCTTTGCCACTTACTAACCGTATTATCTTGCACAGGTAAGCCTGTTTCCTCATCTGTAAAGTGAGGTTAATTCTGCCTGTGCTATCCTCTGCAGAAAACTATTGTAGGGGTCAAGTAACTTACTAAATCAGAAATCATTTCAAAACGGTGTAGTGTGTTTTCATTGTCATTTCATGAAGGAATGTAGCATGGGGCTTCAAGACAGGTTTTGGAAGATCTGGCTGGTCATACTTCATGAACAGGGCTTCCCATAGTGATTACAATATTTCTTTAGTACATATCAACTTTTGTGTGAATATGGAATTTATGGTGTGAGTTTTTCAATTACTCCTTAGAATCAGAACCAGATTGTCAATTAAATTAAAAGTTTTGGAAACATGCACCAGTGCAGACAATTTAGCAAATATATAGGAAACCATCTATTGGCATCCTTCTAGGGTACTATCATCTGAGTCTTTTGAATGTCTCTACCCAAATATGGAGTCCTGGTGTGGCGCTATAGGATAAACACTGGATTGTTAACTGCAAGGTTGCCAGTTCAAACATACCAGCCTCTCCTCAGAAACTTTATACAGGGTCACTGTATACACGATGAAACTTAACAACAACAACATACCCAAATATAGAGACTCTGCATTTTGAGGATATGAAACAGCAGAACCAGCAATTGGCTTCATTTATGCATAAAACTATGTTTAATGTAGAATAGCAAACTTTTTCTTCCACAGAGACATTGAAAATTTGATTTTGTTTTAGTACTGCCACCATGCAAAAGTAACACCATTGAATTATTCAATGAGAAAAAGAATGAGTACTTTGTATTGGACAGGAACGTCTTTCACATGAGATATGGAGATGTGACTAAAAGATGTTTTACTCTATCTTAATTAATAGCAAAAAATCATATGACAAGTAGACTTTAGTAAAATCTTCAATTTCAGCCAGTGTTTAATCAAAATAATCAAATTTTAATTCTTAAGTATATGAATTCAGTCGTCTTTTCCACCAGTTCTAAGTATGATTTCTCCTTACAGGTCAATGTAATGGACATTGAAAGTGAAGAGAACCGCTGCTCTCTCTTTGTAGAGCTCCTAGAATCCAGTTACCAAGAAGTTGACTTTCAGCACTTGGCTTTACTCTTACAAGCCTGGCCACCAATGAAAAGTGACTATGTGTAAGTATTAACATAAAGTTAATGTAATTAGCATTTCTGTGTCTGGGTTTCTGTTTAAAATGCAGTACCTTGAAAAGAGTCAATGAAAGAATAACAATGTCAGTATTTGCCTCTACAGGAAGTTAAATTGTCTTTTGAAATATTACAGTATCCTTTCATCTCTTCTTGTACAAGAACCCAAATTCAGAAGTCTCAGACATTGCTTAATAATAGTCTATTTACGATAATTGCATAACAATTTTGTCCTGGTATTGTCAATAGAAAAAAAATTGGACTGCCTTTTAACAAAGCTCACAATATTAATATTGGAATATAGAATAAATGAATAATTCATATTTATTGAAAACACATAGTTATGTGTAATTTATACATAGTGGCACTGTAGGATAAATGCAGGACCACGAGGTAGGTTTGAACCACAAGAGTGGCGGGTCAAACTCACCAGTCACTCCTCAATAACCCTGTGGTTATAATGAGTCAGAACCAACTCAACAGCACTTAACAACAACTTAACAATCAGTAATCTCACAACAGATCTATAAGGAAAGATGATGTTATCCGAATCTCGCAGGTGAGTTGAGGTGCAGAAGTTAAATAACCAGATATTATACAGTTAATAAGTGAAGGAGACAGAATTCTAACCAGCTCTGGCTACCTTCACAGCTCATGTTGTTTGTTCCATGTCATGCTGAGCTTGCAGTTGCCACTCAAAACTACATGGAGCTTTCAGACAACTCCTTGCTCTGTCAGCAACATAACCACTCTTATCCTTTGCAAGTAGTGGTCAGATGTCCTCCAAGCACATGTGCTATATATCAGGAACTGCTGCTGTTTGTTGGCAAAAATTACACTTGCCATTGCCTCTATTCAAAATGCCCATTTGCTCCTGGACTGATCGTGTTCTTCCCACACTTGACAGGCAGACTTTCCCTTGGGCCAATGTGCTTCTCCACACTTCAGAAGTTAAAAAGAATTACTGCCTGAAAATAAATTACACTGTGATCAGTTTCGTACTGCTAAAGAATATCTGAAAACTATTCTTTACCTAACTCTTAAGATGAGACCATTAGGAATTTCTAGAGCGTATCCCAGAGAGTGGTGTGCTTTTTAGGTGTGTTTTTATAACCAAGTGTGTTCAGGGGGCGGAAATTGAGATCTTCACTATTTTTTGACAGAGATGGCATGCTGACATGTACTTATAAGAGCACATTGTTGTTCACTATTTGCAAGTGTGCAGTACAGGTCCTCATATAATAAAACCTGAAGTTTTACCTGTGACTGTGCATAGTTCTGAGTGCTCTTGGAATTGCTACCTTAGGGGTTAGGGCTGTTTGTTAGAAGCAGATTACTGAGTCACATGCTGGACTTTCTGAACCCAAATCTCTGTAGTGGGGCCTGGGAATCTATGTCTAAGGAAACTTAAAGGTGTGGATAATATGGAACACTGACTATTTAAAAACCACTCACTTTCTCATGGTAATATATAGTCACAAGAAACAAAGTCACCTTCACTTAAGCATGTAATACATTGGTGGTGATTAAGTGCCCTAGAGTTGATTCCAACACTTAGTGACCTTGCATAGATTTTCTGAGGCTTTAAATCTTTACTGGGAGCAAAAAGCCTCATGTTTCTCCCACAGAATGGCTGGTAGTTTCGAACTGCTGACTTTGCGTTTTAACATCCCAACTTACAGTCCACTATGCTACCAAAGCTCCATAATACATTGGTAGAAAAAAAAAATCTTAATTTTTAAAGGCCTATTTTTATTTTTATAGTCACATAGACTATTTGAAAATGGCTAGCCTGTATTTCATGACACTATTAAATCATTAGAATCAGAAGGAAGCATTTACAAATTTATTCAACCCCTTCTTATGCAATTTCGCCCCTACCTGGAAGTATTAGGAGTACTCATCTATCTAGGAATTGTTATTGTTAAGTGCTGTCAAGTTGGTTCCAACTTATAGTGACCCTGTATAGGGTTTCTAAGGAGCAGCTGGTGAATTTGAGCTGCTGACCTTGCAGTTCAAACCAACCTTGTGGTCCAGTGTTTATCCTATACCAGCACCACACCAGGACTCTACTACTAGGAGTCCTCATCTATCTAGGAGAACTCAGAGGATGGTTTGTTCTGTTCTGCTGCTTCCTGTCTCAAATTGGAGAAAAATGAGGCTTTCTGCTCCCGTAACATTTATAGCTTTGGGAACCCTGTGCAGGGTCGTTATGAGTCGGAACCGACTCCACGATACTTAACAACAACAACATAGGATATTGTATGATGGACTGCTTTTAAAGCGGTGCTCCAAAGTACTTTTCAAACAGAGTGTGGCAGTGATTGAATGTTGCTAGTAGATACAGTGTGGTTACAAACTGAGAAATGTGCTTGACATGACTGCTAATTTACTACCACCACCTTTGAGGGAGTCCATAAGATAAGCACTGGGCAGCTAACTGCAAGGTTGGTGCCTCAAACCCCCCAGCCTTTCCTCAGAAACCCTATGCCAGCTTGCTATGAGTCGGAACTGAATCGATGACATTTAACAACCACAAAAACCTTTGAAGACTTAAGAGAGTGGTTTTTCACTTTCAGTTCCTTGTTAAACAAGGAGAAGGCATTGAAAGATTAATAGCTTTGTAGTTATGAAAGATTTCTTAGTTTTCATCGAGTTAGCTAGTAAAAAGTATATTTCTATAATTTGTTGTCAAAACCACATTGCCCGCTGGTGCATGTTCTGTTGGCAAACCAGTGTTTCTCTTGCAGTGAGAGAGGTAGCCTATTATAGGAAAGCCCAGAAGAGCTGAAGTCAGGTTTTGAAATAGGAAAGTAGAGAGTCTTTGAGTGTAAGAAGATTCCTCAGTCAACCAGACAGTCTCATGGAACTTTGTTTATACCTTGAAATAAGCACTGTTAGTTTGCTATCATCACAGATTGTTACTACGAACTGAGATACAGAAACTTTCCTAGAGTCTCAATATTTTTAATTTCAGAGTCCTCTTGTTGTCATGCACTTGAATATTTTCTTTGAGGACAAAGAATGAAATTATTTTAAGGGACCGACCATCTGTAGTTATTTCCTGTCTAGCATCTAGTGCTATGCCAATGAGACAGCAGAATCTTAATAAGTAATAATAATAAAATTTAAAGCAGTGTAAATACAATCATTAATCTTTTTATGGGACCATGAAATGAAATTATCTTTCATTTGTTTATTGAAATGTAAACTGATGTTTTATTGAAACTTGGGGTATTGGCAGTCAGAGAAGGTGATATTTCAGAAATAGGACAATATGAAGTGGGAAGAATGCACTCCCTTATCGCTTGTCTGCTGTTTTCTCTCTGCTGTGTTCCACACTGACCTCTGAGACACACTCCCCTTTTTTGTAATTTAGTCCTGCCCTGGCCCCATACAAGTGAGCATTAAGATGTCCTACTATTAAGAGTGATACTTGACAATTACATGCCATCATTCCTTAAGTAAAGTAACCCTGCAAGAAGAACATATCTCCATTCAGAAATGGGAAAACAGAGATCCAGAAAGGTTGGGTTTCTTTGCCAGAGCCGTATGACTAGGCTGAGGGTGTTTCGGTCATTTAGCTGACTCACTCAAGTAATAAAGCAAGGAACCAGACCTGAAGCCCAGTCTTTAGCTTCAGAGTTTGCCTCTTTGAACTGCTACCAACTCTGTCCATGTGAGTGGGGAACTTGTTGATACCACAGTAAGATGCCTTTGTTTTTTAGGATGTTATTTTTTTCTATATGATACACTTAAAGGAGTATACCACATAGTTTCTGATTGTAATTTGCCATACAGATTTTACTTCAAAAATTGAGATTTCTTTCTTTGTTAAGTTTCTAGTCATGATTGTGAGAGCTTTGGTAATTTCCAATGCCTTTTATTTTTCTTCATTAGAACCAGCCTAAGCAATAACCCATGGGTCAGACTAGTAACAGTGATGTTAGCCAGATGTACAGAGGAGAACAAGGAAAGACTGGGAAATGAAGTTTTGAAAATCTGTCGGTCTTTATATAACACCAAGCAGATGCTCCCTGCAGAGGTGAGTTGACATTTTAAGTGGCTTTACTGGGAGTATTCCTTTTCATACTAAAACTCTTTACTGTAAGCAATATCAGAGATTGTATTTGAGGAATGATTGCTTCAGTCACCACTGGTAAGTGCCTGTAATTTGTAACGGATCAAATGAAGAAAAGCAATGCTGAAAGGATGCTTTGAGAAATTTTTTTCATTTTATTAGAGCTCTGAAGCAATAGTTCTTCACAAGTCCCAGGGTATAACCTAGTTTTCATTTCATTCCTTCTGGATGCTCTTTTATGTCTAACTCTATGTCCCAAAGGATCACAGTAGCTCATGTGTTACCTTGGGCTGAACCATGCCATGTGGTTAAGTAGTAATAAGTTTCAGTACTCCTCTCAGCAAGTAACTAATTTTTCTGGTATCTGCATGCTTTTTTTTGTCATAATGAGATTATATAACTCCAATATTTACCCTCTATAAAAGAAAGGCAAAAAATTCAACCACCTCCATGTTGGACTATTTGTTTTCTATTTGATCCAATACTCTGATGATCACAGAGCTAGTTGTTTGATATGCACTATTCCTCACTTAGTCCTGGTGTGGCGCTGCGAGTTAATATCCTAGACTGCAAGGTCGGTTTAAACCACAAGGTCAGCAGTTCAGACTCACCAACTGCTCCTCAGAAACCCTATACAGGATTGGTATGAGTCAGAATTGACTCAGCGGCACTTAAACAGAACAACTCCTCACTTGAGGAACCTTGGTATTGTAGTGGGTTATGAGTTGAATAGTGAATTTAATATCAGCAGTTCAAATCTGCCAGCTGCTCCATGGGAGAAAGATGAGGCTTTCTGCTTGTGTAAATCCTAGACAAGGTCGTTATGAGTCAGAACAAACTACATGGCACATCACCACCACCACCACCACTACTACCACCATACCTCACTTCTCAGTTATCTTGCTACGGAACATTTTACATTTGCAGATAATAATAATAATAAAGGCTCTCTATTTTTGCCAGCACCAAGCACCAATGCTAGGTGAGAGTAACACTGACCATAATGATGAAGTGTCAACCTCACTGGACCAACTCTGCTTCTCAGTGGTTTGACTGTAACAAGGTGATATCCTCCACTTTGTGATCTGATGTTGTCATCCTCTGTTGTTGCTGAATGCCAATTTTCACGCAAAAACCTGGACTTTGGAGCCTTACTGTTTCAATACGTGAGGAGTGAATGCATATTTTGGTGGTGGTGTGGTCAGTTCCGTCACATAGCAATCCTGTGTAGGGTTTCAAAGCCTGTAAATCTTTATGGGAGCAGAAAGCCTTGTCTTTTTCCTGCAGAACAGCTGGTAGTTTCCAACTGCTGACCTTGAGATTAGCAGCCCGACTCCTAGCCACTGTGCTACTAGAGATCCTGTATATACAATATACATATAACCAACAAATGAAATCCATTGCCGTCAAGCTGGATTCCAACTCAGAACAATCCTATAGGACAGAATACAGCTGTTCCCTAGGGTTTCCAGAACTTGAATCTTTACAGAAGCAGACTGCCCCATCTTTCTTCCACAGATCATTTGGTAGATTCCAAATGCCGATCTTTTGGTTAGCAGCCAAGTGCTGACCATCAGGACTCCTTTTATGCATAGATAATTTCATACAATCTAAAATGTAATTGACAGATGCTGTCAAGTCAGTTCCAGCTCTTAGCAACCCTGTATTAGGTGTCTTTGAACCATTGACCTTATAGTTAGCAGTTCAGTGCTTCTCCTACAATGCCACACATTTTGAAATGACACGTTAATTACGGCCTCTGATGTGGAGTGTACCTCAGCAGTGCATTGTCTGAGCAGTTTACATTTGGATAATGACGCTAAATTAATTGGTTTTAAGTTTCTACTGCAGGTGAGATAAACTTGAAAATAAAATTGTAAAAATGATTCTTTGAATCCTAATTGTAATCACTGAAGGAAAATATTCTCATTATGAATGCACATTCAATAAATTGTTTTCTGAAAGAAGAATTGGCTGAATATTTTTGCTTAAATTTTCAAATATTTCATCCATTTGAAAGAGAGGTCCAAGGACCAAGGATCTTACTCCTCCAGATCCCTTAATGCAATAAATGGTGGATCTCACTCTTAAACCAATTCTTTGTCCTTGAATATTTGAAAAAGAAACACTTCTAGATGAGACATTCTTATTGTAGTGAATTTACAATGTAGGAATATTGCATGCTTGTCTTAGGCTGTTTTGTAAGTTTCGTTATCAAGTTTTCCCTTTTATGATATTGCCTTCAAGAATGGCTTATAGACATGTGGTCTTGCTGGTGACCACGTTGGTCACCAATAAGGGGAAGTGGAGGGAAAACAGCAGTGAACTTGTAAGCTAAGTCCAACCACATCCAATAGACTCATGTCAACCGAGTTGAGACCTGGTTGGCCAGCAGTATGGCAAGACCTGGGGGCTCCTGGGTCCAGAGACAGTGACATGGCCACAGAGAACTAGAGCGGAGAGTGAAGCGTCCAGCTGGTATGAAGTGAGGGGAGATGCACAAGAACACCCATACTTGTAGATAGTGCCCACTTGACCTGGCTTCAATGGCTGGATGATCAGAATTCAACTAGAAGAAGAAAGAAGAGGAAAAAAAGAGTAATCTGATACAATTTGATGAACTTGACCTATACTTATAGATGTAGTAGCTCAAAAGAGGGAACAAATCTTTACAGCAAGTATCACCCCACCCCTCGGTACACAGAGTTGACAGGGATGGGCAACTTAAACATTGGCTACCCAAAATAGAGGGGCTACAAAGGCAAGAAGTGAGAGGCTTGCAAGCGTTCAAGAGAGAACCTAGTTCCAGAGGGTGCAGGGGAAAGTAGACTCTCCACTGAGTGGTTTCCAACTTGTCTGGGCAGGGCTGATGAAAGGAGATGGGGATAGCACTCATGTGGCACAATAGTGAATAATTAATACCAGGACTGACTGTGAGTGTTGGAAATGTAAAGGTAGATGTTTTGTAGCGAAAGGAGGGGAGTAGTTGATTTTGCAGTCCAGGAGCGGAGGTCCCTGGGACCATTAAGGGAGAAGAGCGGAGTGTGGGACCCTATCCAGAAAAGCAGTGACGCCAGAGATGGAGGCAGAGATGATGATGTGGAGAGATGGAGTGGCTGGGAACTCTGAACTTAGGGAGGAAAAGGGTCTGTGTGTTGATGGCCGGGGACAGGGTTGCGGGGTGTACCCTTTGTTTGTTTGATGATGCATAGAGGGGATTGTAATAGTTGCGATGAAACAAAATACAATAGGATGAATGTAAAGCTAATGTTCTCCTATGTAAAGTATCACTTAATTCACAATAAACACTTTTTAAAAAAATGGCCTATAGAGTCTATAATCTACTATTACCAATATTTTAGGTGTAAGGTTGTTGAGTTCTCTTGTTTGTATTTGCCTGTTGCTGTAGTTGTTAACACATGACAACCCCTGTGTGCAGAGTAGAACTGTTCTGTGCCTATGACCTTTTGGAAGTAGATCACCAAGGCTCTCTTCCGAGGCACCTCTAGGTGAGTGTAAACCTACATCCTTTCAGATAGTAATCGAGCCTTAAAGAAACTCATCATCACTGTGCCACTAAGAGACTCCTTATCATTGCCTAAAGAAGTTGTCTTTAAAACTTCTGCATTGGTTTCTTTCTACTATAATTACTTATAAGACAAGGTATACGTAAGTTAGCAGAAAACATGGTCCCTGCATCCTTGGCCCTGACATCATACCAGTGCTCAGTAATCAAAGTTTGGTAACCATTGTGCATATTACCTCGTAGCCACTGAGAATAGACACCTGAATGTCCCTAGCAATAGTATCCCCATCAGCATTACATTTAAAGTTTAAGGAAACTTTTTAGGACCTAGAGGGAGAAGTATGTTCTTTTTTGTTTTGATTAATGTGTAGCAGGTTGGACTTTCTGTTTCCTATTAAAAAATAAAGGTTGCTGGTTAAATGAGAAATTAAATAACTATGAATGATTCAGCTCCCAAAACATACTGCAGTTGCCCCTTGAACAACATGGGTTTGAACTGCACAGACCCTCTTATATATGGATTTTTTTTCCCCTGTTGCTATTGTGGTGAACTCCATGTTACAAGTATCCACTTAAAATGGATGAACCACTCACACAGAGATGATGTTCATCACACGGTGTTTTAAGGAGATATAACTCTCAAGCTCACTGCAATAGCAACAGGAAAAAAAAAATCTGTGCATAGGATCTATGCACAGCACCTTCAGCACCCATGTATCATGACACCCCTCACAGACACCATAAGAAGGATGTGTTTACCTCTTCTTGTTAGGACTGGAAGCTTCTTAAGGTCAAGGACATCATACATATAGTACACCAGTAGGAGCCCTAGTAATACATGAGTTATGCAGTTTCTCATCCTGACTGTGCCTCAAAGTGCTCTGTGATCATGAACAAATCACAAAACACTCTGGACTTCTCTGCTCTCATTCTGTCTATTTGACAAACTTTCCAGGCATACACGGAGAATGAGCTGAGGCTGCCAGTTTACTGTTTCACCTGTAGTGTATCATTGACTGCCTTTTTTCTTTTTCTTTTTTTTTTATGTTTTTATTGTGAATTGAGTGTGAGTTTACATGGGAGAACATTAGCTTTACAGTCATCCTATCATATTTCGTTTCTTTGCAATTACTGCAGTCCCCTCCATGTGTCATCATTCAACAGCATTTGCTGTTGAAAAACCCTCTAGGTTTTTTTGTTTTTGTTTTTGGATGTACACCAAAGCACTCAGGAATATATAATCATTCAGACAACCAAAGGGTATACCCTGCAAGCTTGTCCCCCAGCTGTCAGCACACAGACCTTCTCCCTCCCTGAGTCCAGAGTTCCCAGCCACTCCATCTCTCCACATCATCATCTCTGCCTCCATCTCTGGCGTCACTGCTTCTCTGGATAGGGTCCCGCACTCTGCTCTTCTCCCTTGATGGTCTCAGGGACC